AAAACTGCGGAAAAATGCAAGTTTCTTCACTTTGATTATCTGGACGAGAGCCTGATTCCACCACGCTGCCTCATATATTCCTGTTGTACCTGTCTGCATTCTTTCAATATCCAGTTAATATACCTGTGCCTGTGTATTTCTTCCATGTGTTTCTTCGTGGTGCTTTCATGAGAAGTGTAAAACTTAGAAATTGATTTTGAAAATCCCTCAGTGCTTCCATTTGAAACGAAAATTAACAGAATTTTTGCACTCTTTACAACAAACTGATTTTGCCGCTGCATTCGTTTACATTGTTAATTATGCAATGTTAATATATATTTTAAATAAAGCTCGCCATCTTTGCAAAGGCACTACAAAAAATTCACTAGATAGAAAAATATCAATTGTATTTAACTTTTGAAAGTCAGAATCGTCATTTCTTTCTTCTTCAAACGCTTTATTATGCTCAGCTCCATTAAAACGCCCCACTTTAAGAAATACCTCTGAAATTAAAATTGCGGCTGGAATTATATGTACAGGCGTTTACACAGAGGTGTAGGGACACATTACCAACAGATATTGAACAAAACAAAGAAGAAAAAATAAGATATTGAACAAAGATGCCATGTCAAACAGTCATCATCATCCACCCTCTTCCCCACGCCCGTCTCTGTTTGCTGTGCTTTCTTTGGCCCCATAGTTTCCACAAGATACATGATGTACTTTTCAACCATTTTCCTCTTGCAAACAAGTTCAATAAAATGTGTAACGTTTTGGATGGTTGTATTTCCAGATTTGACAAGTGTGCCAGTCTCCCATCCCCTCCGTCAACGTCACCAACAAACAGGGAGACAACTCTGCCGTACCGGAAGACATCTGGTCCTAAAATAGACGTCCCCTCTGATGATGCGATCCAGCTTCCGCCCGTCCACAACGCTCTCCGTCCCGTTTCGCCCCGGGCTGGATCTAGCTCTGGCTCCCGTCAGCAAAGTGTGACTACGGGACCCACTAGCGGCAGGTCTTCTGCTATCCGGGCCCCTGACCCAGGAGCTGATGACACAAGGATGGGGTCAAGGTCTCTAGGTCAAAACGTTGACCCTGTTGGATGTGTAGGAGCCATCCCAAAAGTGAAAGAGATCTTGGCGCCAAACATGACGTCACTGGGCGGGGAGAATGTGGAAGTGGACACCACCAAGCTTTGGGTACAGCACCCTTACGAGGATGATGAGGAGGACGAAGATGGGGAAGATAATAACATGTAAATAAATTATTCAAACGACGTTACAGCCATTAACTTAATTAATTACAACTGCTTTATTGAACATCAGTCTGCAATATTTCCATTTGTGTACATGCACACCTGAAGAATGCTGGTCATTTCTGATTGGTTAACTAAATAACATTATCCAATCAGTGACAGAAACGTTTTTGTGAGTGGAAGAAGAGCTTCCTCCAGCCAACAGCATTATGCTGCGTTGTAGTAGTTTCTGTCGAAATGCTAAAATAAAGGCCACGTTTCGACAGGATAGCCAGATGGGATAACTTTTCGAGCATAGCTGTCCACTGACTATTATTTTATGTTCTCCTTATCTCTCTTCCACAAATAAACGAGACGTCATTTTGTGCATAGTTCGTGTCGTTCTGTGCTTAGTTCGTGCATATCAATTTGATGGAGTTGACTTTAATTTATGCTGGGGACCATGGGAGATTGGGGGAGTTGCGAAGACATTTCTCACTAAATATAGGTACTACAGTCCGGAGAACACCAAATGGACAACTTGTCGACCTCATTACACCGAA